CACTTTGGGAATAATAATTGAAGATAATATCTCACTGATGAATAGATGCCAACTGACTTCAAAGAGTAGCCTCTTGAAATAGTTGAAATTAATCCACTCTAATTTCCTCTTGGCTAATTTCTGCAGCCACTAGAATGCTAACTATGCATTTTAAGTACAGAGGAGAAGTTTGTTTGTAAGACTAAACCTAGAGATTAACACTGTCCCTCCAAATGTGGAGTAAATAATTACCATTTTGTAAATTAATTGCTGTCAATATCCAATGCCAAAACCCTTATTCTAAACATAATATAACTACTGATAATTAATCTTGACCGGTGCTTCATGATGCTTTTACATTACCTGAGTGAAGTAATTAAGATGTTGGACTAGAAACCTGGATGCTATGGATTCTGGCCCTCTAGTCCTTCATTAGGCACAGAAATTGACTGTATAACTTGGGGCCAGCTTAACCTCCTCATAGGGCTCTTGTGGGGAAAGCAAGAGGAGAAAACTGCCTTGAATTGTATATAATAAAGCTGGGATATAAATCTAATCAATCAATAATCAAATAATCAAAAACTACTTGGAATTCTATCCCACATAAATTTTATCAATGATACACGCAGTGGAGGCATTCACAAAGCTGCTAGATTTTCTGTTATATAGTGTAGTTTTAAAATTAACTAAGTAACCAAATGTGCATAATATTTTCACAGCAACAGTTGCAGGAACATAGCAAATAAATGGATAGAACTTAATTAAAAATGTATTAACTTGATTGAATACAGGAAACAGAATTACTGCTCATTAATAATTTTGAGAGCATTTTTGAAGCACCTCTATAAGGGTCACGTAGGTTTACAGAAAGACATTTTTAAAAATATATTTGCTTGCTTTTAAGTTAGAAGCTCAAAAATTACTTACTGGTACTTACCACTTAAGATGGTGTCAGCGCATAGCACCCAGACTGTTCTCCTGATATTTGGGAGAAAAATACTGGTTTTCCATGGTATTATTTCTTTGGCCCTTCCTGCTAAATACAGTAAGAGTGGTAAAGAAAGTGAGAAATTTTGAGAGCTAAATTGCTCTCCTTTTCACTCCTTACCTGAAATTTTACTTTTGAAATTTTACTTTTTTGCCTAAAAATTTACTTATGGCATTGATCAATAAATCAGAATTATTTTTGATAGTGCAGTGGTCCAGGTGAATGATTTCAATGATTAGCGATCTCTCTTTGCTAATCTAGCAATAAAGAAGGTCACTTCTTTTTCTTTTTAAAGCTAGGGTTAAACAGTGAAAAAAATGCTTAACAGAAAATCAACTGAATTCATACTGATGAACTCAGAGAATGAAGTTTATTATAAAACCACTGTGTTGAAGCATCATTCTCTTAGCCATTTCCTATTTTCCCTGGAGGTAAGGTGAGGCAATAACTATATCTCTCAGTGGCCTGTTAGGTACCATCTTCACAGACACTCCCCTTCAGAAATGCAAATATCTTAATACAACTGCATAAGGCAAGCTTGCTGTGGACAGGTCACAGCATGCTTCTGCAAAGCATAAACTTCATTAGTTGTGTGTGGGCCAAATTTCTAGAAGCCTTTGAACATTTCACTTGTGCTCGGTGGAACTTCACTGTGTACTTTTATACTACAGATTTAAAAACCAGAAGGCCATTTTCTACTGTAATTATTAGTGGATAAACGAAACAGAATGGGATTTCCAGTTGAGGAAAAGAATTTATTTTAAAATATTGTTATACCATGTTTTCTCACAGGAGTTTCCAGAATGGTATATAATTAATGTATGGATTGATTAAAGAGTATCTATATATTTTAGTTGCAATTCTGTTGGTTGATATATGTTTTATTGGGTTTGAGTTATTATTGGACTTATTACTGCAAAGTTGATTTTAATGCTTCACCACCACTTGTCTTTCTTTAAAAGTATAACAACTAACTAAATGTTTAACATTTGTCGTAGTGGACATAATACCTTAGAGCAACACTATAATTTAAGAATAATAATCAAAATCAATTACAGGTAGTCCTTGACCTACAACAATTCATTTTGTGACAACATTTGAAGTTACAACAGCACTGGAAAAAGTAACTTATGACCATATTTTTCACACTTACAACAGTTGCAGCATTCCTATGATCACATGATCAAAATTCAGTTGCTTTGCAACTGACTCATATTTATGATGGTTGCAGTGTCCCGAGATCATGTTATCATCTTTTGTGGGGAAGACAGATTCACTAAACAACCATATTACTAATTTAACAACTGCAATGATTCATTTAACAACAGTGGCAAGCAAGGTTGTAAAATGGGGCAAAATTCACTTAACAAAGGTATCACTTAGAAATGTTGGCCTCAATTTGTGGTCATAAGTCGAGGACTACCTGTACGAGCAGAAAGGCGGCAAAAACAGTATCAAAATTATTGTAAGTTAAGTGTACCATTTTAGGGAGGGCATTTCAGAAACAGGCAGTCCTGTTTTGAAAAGAATTTAAAAATAAAGCTTAGTGTACTGATTTAATACTGATTATTGAAACAAGTCTTTGGGGGTATTTTGTTCACATGCTTTTAGAGTAGTTCCTTTCCCTAACAAGTATAACAACTGTTTTTTTAGGTTCTAAAAAAGCAATTTATTTAAAAACTGATCTACCAGTTTTCATTACTGATCTCAGGACAATTCATCACAGACCCATGAAACGATTCCTGGAATAAGTAAAAAACCAAACCCTCAGCAACATTTTGAAATATTTTGTATTCCGATTGCAAAACAACCAAAGTATGTTTAAATAATGTCATGTAAAAAAGAATGGACTTGGCTACAGCCCAAATTCTTTCATTTGTGACTAAGAATGTAGTTTCAAAAATGTACATTGCACCATGCCCTGAAAGAAGTATGAGTCAGTCTCTCTCCCACCCACCCCCCTACCTCCTCTCACTCTCTCTCTCACAGGACTCAATTGGATGAGAGTAAGATTCTAAGATGATTGTGTTTTGAAATATAAGTGTTAATATTCTTAAAACAATTTAAGTGTCTTAAATTCTGTACATTGCACTGATTTGTAGTTTATTTAATAACTGATTGTTGAATTAAGGGCTATTCTAGACCATTGTGTTATATTGCTACCTACCAGTCTCTAAGCTTTCAGGAAAATATGCTAGGGTAAATACTATGGTCCTCCTACTCTGCCATAATAGTGTTCTTAAACACTTGTCACATACCAAACTGAGAAGCAGGAGAACTGGATTTGCTTGGCTTCATTTTCCCTCCCATTTCCCAGTGGGCAAAAAAACAAACAAACAGCCACTACTATCCCCAGTTTGAGATATGGTAGATGAGTCCTTAAAATAACAGGTTTATCTATCTGTCAAATTGTCTGACTAATAGATTGCAAGTGCAAAGGGGTATATGAGGTGGCGTGGGAGGGAATGATCCCACTGCTCCTACTCATTGCAGCCCCTCATCTGTCCCTCTCAGTCCAGCTATTACTGGAGTGCTAAACTTCACCTTGGCATGCTGGCTGGGGAATTTTTGGAATTGAAGTTCACGCTTCTTAAAAGTTGTCACACTTGAGAAACAGATTGTATTCATACCTAAAATTCTATTTAACAAGAAAAAAGGCTTCCTTTTTGCGAATTGGAACCACAGATGAAAATATTGAGTTCCCCAACAGGGTATGGGAACAGGGTAGCTGAGGAACCATCTCACTCCAATGGCACTATCCTGCCCCATTTTTTTCCCCAGTGGAAAGGGCCTATTTTGGATCCCATCTGCCAAAGAATTTTGATTTGGCGGGGTCCAGGAGAAGAGCATTTTCTGCTGTGGCCCCCGCTGTATGGAATATTCTTCCGTTGGAAATTAGGTCTGCCGGCATATTCCTGACCTTCTGGAAGAGCCTGAAAACGGCTCTGCTGCTTGGCTTGGGCCCTAACAAAAGCCTGCTACGTTGGAGGTGGCTACCATGTAGAAAAGATCTCCATTCCCAGACTGCCCATCATTTTTGTTTTTAGATTTTCTATTTAATTCCTTTAAATTTCCTGCAGGACTTTGTAACTTTTTATTATATTATAAACCACCAAGAGTTGCTGCATCATATGGTGGAGTGGAATAAAAATTCAATAAAAAGGAAAAAAAATAGGCTAAAAAGATGGTTACCGAGCATATTAGTGCTAGATGCTGGGATGGGAGAAAAAGCCCTTAATTACAAACAAACAATCCACATCATGACTTAATGTGAAATTGAATTCAGCCTAAAATTAAGATTGAGGGGGATGATCTTGTGTAGCCCAAAGCACACTCATCACTACTTTGTTAAGTTTGCAGCATTTTACGCATTTTTTTTTAACCAGTTGAATGCTATGCTGTCTGGTAATATCTGGTTGCTCCATTCCCTGCAGTAATATAGACGTACAGTACTGTACGGTTGAAAGGCGATTTAAGTGGAATGTGCACAGGAAAGGCCTCAGGCAATTTTGATAAATTGGAAGCAAGTTCAAATCCCTTCTTCCAAGCATTAGGTAAAAGGGCTTGTAAGAACATCTATGATAGACATTTTTTAAGATGCGTTTAAAATCCATCTAAAGCAAGCAGCAGTCTCCAGCAAATGATGCCTCTTCTCCTTTTGGCAAGACAACTCTTGATGACAGATGTCTGTCTCCATATGAAATAGTTTGCATGCTAAATCTCTCCTGGAGTGGTTATTCATCTAGAAACACACGCAGCCGTTCCCTCTCTGAATCATCATGTTCAAGTCCGGCTTGGCGGAATCGCCCGGTAGGGGTCACTGCTGTCCTTGCACAGTTACGCCGCCTCCTCCTCCTCCTCCTCCGGTGCTGCTAAGGCAGGGAAGGTGAAAGGTTGGCGGGAGCAAAAAGGCGGAGGGAGACAAAAACGCCGGTTGGACAGCCCAGCCACAAGCCGGCATCGCGGAGGTGCCAGAGCAGAGCTATTCACCTCGAGCAAGTCCGACTTCTCAGCCGCGAAGGAGGAGGAGGAGGAGGAGGAGGCGGTGGTGGTGGAGGAGGAGGCACGCCGGCAGCTTGAGCGGAGGCGTTGCTCGCCTTGAAGGTAGCGTGTGCGGGAGCCGCGGCTGCCTCTGGGCTGGGCAAGGAAAGCGATCGCCGGTCCTCCCGGCACCATCCCGGGCCATGCTGGCAAAGGTGGACCGGGAAGCCGAGCCTCATCCGAGGAGGAGGAGGAAGCGAAGGTCGGGCAAGGAAGCAACGCTGACATCTCGCACGCTCTTCAGCTTCTCCAGCTGGGAAGGAAACTGAGCGGCTGGGCTGGACCCACCTCGGGGCAGGTGCCGTTTGTTAACTGCTGCGCCCGGGGCTCGCTCCGCTTTTCGCGGGGAACTTTGCCGGCGGAGTTGAGCGCGACAAGAAGAATCCTGCATTCTTCGCTGTTTCCTCGACGGGAAAAGCTTCCTCGCGAGGAGTACGTACACAAGGCCGGGAGGAAACGGCAACAGGAGCCCTACGGTGTGTCTCTGCCGCCGCCGCCGCCCCCCGATTTCAGCGCCCCAGAGAGAAGGGTGTGTGTGTGTGTGTGTGTGTGTGTGTCCGACGGGCTTGCGTCTGATTTAAGAAAACACAAGCTGGTTGTGGTTTAGCTCGCAAGAGTGAACGGTCCGTACCTGCCAGCCCGCCTCTTCACGCCCTCTCAGCAGCAGGAGCAGCGGCTTCTTGGTTTGGCTTTTCCGCTCCTCCAGGTAAGTAAGCTCCCATATCCCCCGATTTCGGGTAGGAAAAGGCGGGAGGGGGGTTGTTAAAGGGTGTGCACGCTGAAGGCGGGGCGGCGATTTCCCTTCTGCCCGGATCCTTCCTTTTCTCTCGGCATACAAAAGAGGAATCCCCGAGGGAGGGGGAGGGGAACGTGGGTAATTATTAATCCCAGGGACTCGGCATGGAGGAGCTTTCGCTGGAGCGCCCGGCGTTGTGCAGTCGAGGAGGAACTGGAGCTTTTTTCCCGGGCCGGCTTCTTTTCTTAAGTTCTTTTGCGCTTGAAGGGCTCGGCCCCTAATAGGCCTTGAAGGATGACCTGCTTCTCTTGCTGTTGCCTCATATTGGGATCCAGAGCAAGCTTGTTAACTACTCACTTATCCACAGCACCCGTGTTCTCCAGAGGCCAAGAGAATTCTCCTAGCTGAACTGTGAACAAAGAAGCCCATAGGGCTGAGGAGCGTGTGAAACTTTATAATGGATTTACCTCTGACAAAACTTTCGTCTTTTGAATTCACTCTTACAGCTTGACAATGAATGTATAGATTTTTTTCCCCCCTCTCTTGCAAGGTGGTTAGAAGGATTTGGGCCCTTTTCGTCTTTTTTCTCTTTGCAGGATGCCTGATGAAGACGTAACCTTTGGTGTAAGGCACCCGCTTTAATAGCTCCTTGAAGACAAAGACTAGTCTGCTTTCCTTCTCCACCTTTGACCCGAGTGAAATAAAAATTGCCAGATCAGAACGGAGTTATTTGGTTTCCCCCTTGCTGTGCTTGAAGTTGGGTTCATCTCTTTTTTTTTATCATTTTGCACTCTGACATCCAAGACACTGGAGCAGCCATGGGCTGCTTCTGTGCAGTGCCTGAGGAATTTTATTGTGAAGTTCTGCTTCTGGATGAATCCAAATTAACCTTAACCACACAGCACCAAGGGATAAAGGTAAGTGCTGCCTGTTCTGTTTTTACTATCTTGTCAGTAGTGCTTGAAATGCTTTGTCTAGTGTTAAGCAATAGGGGGCAAATTGACATGGAAACCCATTTCTGAGACAGCGCTTATCAAAACAAAGTGGTTTCTAATTACAGGGATATGGCCATGTCAAGTGGCATTTAACTTTACATCACATTCCACGACCCAGGAAGGAGTTGTAATAATAACAAAAAACATGAAAGTGTTAAAAATGAGCACTGATTTGCTTTTCTTAAACCATGTATTGTGTGTAAAGTAGTCAGTGCTGCAGCAGGGGAAGAAATTCTCAAATTTTAGTAATTCTTAATTGTATAAAGTTATATATTAAAACACTTTTTCCCCCAGATGGCTTATTTTCTTTAGATAGTTTACCTAATTGTCAAATCCATGATTGCTAGATATCCTTGCTTTATATTTATATATACCCTGTTTCCCTAAAAATAGACATCCCCTAATAATAAGCCCAATCGGGCTTTTGAGCGCATGCGCTAAAATAAACCTCCCCCCGAAAATAAGCCCTTTTTGAAAATATTTAAATGCAGGGCTGGAAATCAAGTAGTACGGCAAGAAGAGCCCCATCTTGCTCCACGTACCCCAAAATAATAAGACCTCTCTGAAAATAAGGCCAAGCATTTATTTCGGGGTCCAAAACAATATAAGACAGGGTCTTATTTTTGGGGAAACATGGTAGAAACCAGCCTTTTAAAAAAATGCATACATCCACAAAGGTATGTCAAAACTAATAAATATACTTAGGGTTGGCATAAGACACATGTTTATCAATGGTAGTAAATATTAATCGGCACCTGCTGACTAGTTTTTAGGCCCCATAATTTTGATCCAGATCATTTTTAATTCCTGCTGACTTTCAAAAGAGCCTTATTTCCCATAAGTTTTAACTATCCAGTAAAAGTCAGTGGAGGTAAGAGTGCTTAATTTTCCTTTAAAATACCTCCCAGTCAACAAAATGATAACATATTTTTGCAACCTAAATACTTCTAAATAATCCATTTTTTTTTATTAGTGCTAAATTGGGGGGGGCGCACTAGCTTTCAACATTCCCTCTAAGCTAAGGAAGTAAGCCACTTTCCCTCATTAGAAAGGAAGAATTTACATATAAACATTTTAGTAAATTTTTGAATTCTACTTTTGTTCAGATATAAATGCTAGAGCAGTGATTTTCTGTATGAATATGAAGTGCAGGTTTTAAACTTAAACATTTCTACAGAAAATTAGAATTATTTTGAATGAATGAATTGTTCTGGAAGAGCCTTAAATATTTAGGAAACTGTCTTCTTTTGGCTGTGTAATATATAATGAGCTTTGTATATCATTATAAAAATGTTGAGAGTAGCAAACAGATCACACATTTATATCAAAGATGACCACCTATATTTGTCTATAGAAAATAAAACTCTGAAAGTCTATAAGAAAAATGTGCAAAATCCACAGTAGGCAGAAATGCATTACAGTATCTGTAGCAAATATACTTGTTAATCATTTATTTAATAATTTACATTAAAACTTAATCATGGGTATATATTATCCTGTCTGAAGTTAACATAACTGAGTTTTTAAAAGGTGGAAGAATTTATAATCCCATATTCCTGGAAAATTATTCTCATTAAATTTAAGGGAATTATTATGATTTATATACATATGGGTAGAAAACAATAATACTAGACTGACTTGCCAGTTATATGGGTGCTATGAGAATAAGTAGTGTAATTATGTTTAAGGATATATCTAAGATAATTTCAGTGCAGTGAAACATGCAACTTTTCAATTAATATGTTTGAAAACATATTAGTTTACTTTTAAGTAAAATTTTTACTTTTAAGTAAAATTATCTAAGGAATCAAACTTGATAGGAAAACTGAGATTGCCACTTTGTAGTATAACTGAAATAAATGGAACTAAAGTATATAATAAGCAATAACATGCAAACTTCTGAATGTTTATTTCCTATGGGCTTCATTGAAGCTTAATCACAGGTCAGTATGCAGGTATTTAAATGAATTTTATATGTGATAATGGTTTTAATTGCTGCTAAATTAAAGGAACTTAGTTTTAAGCATTCTGAAATTTGGTGAGATGCAAGAATTCTCTGGAGATTTTTTTTTTGGTCTAGTTAGGAGAGTATTGATAATTTAGTATGCTAGTGGTTAAGGTGTATAGAGTGGCAGACTTAGCCATGAAAACCAGATAGAGGACTTTGGGCCAGTCCCTCTCTCAGCCCAAACTACATGATTGTTGTGGGGAAAATAGGAGGATGAAGGTGTGTTTTATAAGTTTGCTGCCTTGAGTTAGTTGTAAAAATAAAGGTGGGAGATAGATAAATCTGATCAGCTATGTTCAACAGAATAAATGCATGTTCAACAGAATAAATCTTATAGAAGATAGTTTTTATTTTAAAATAAATGTGCAAAGACTTATTCCTATAGTATAGCTAATAGCTTTTGTTACAATTACTTTTTACTAAATATAAAAATAATATAAATAATTACAGGATAATTGTGAACACAATATAAAATAACCTTTTAAATATAATTAGTTTTGCACATTTTATTTTTTGTTTGCATTTTGAACATAATGACTATTAGAACTGGGCAGGGTTTTAAGATCAGTTCCAAAAAGCTGCTTTGAAGTGCACATGAATGTGATTGCAATACCTGTTTGAAACACTTTCAAGCAGCTGTATTGTTTATCCAGGTTTTCATGGCTGCTCTGCTTTGTGATCTAGAGAATATCTGCCATGTTAAAAAAGATTGGAAATTGTTGCTATCCTTATGACCCACATATGCCAAACAACTTTTCAGAATTGAATCCAAAGTTTTGTACAGTCTTTAAGTACCATAATAAAAACTATTAAAGGGGATCTACATGACAGAAATTTAGAAGAATCTTTATCTGGTGTTAAATTTAATGAACATGTCATCCTAAAATTTCAGAATACAAATACCCTTACAGTATTTTAGAAATCTGGGAGGAGAAAATCAAGACAAAACTTAGGTGATTATTAACTTTTGAACATTACAAATTGTTTATAAGTTTATTAATTGTAGGGATAATTCTATTCTGTTATACTTTCCTTTGTTTAAGTCTTACATTCGCAAATAATTCCATCAATTTATTATAGAAACAGTTTATTCTAAACTTGTTTCATTTGTTTAATGTCCATAATTCTGGTTAAGAGCTGTTATGTGAGAGCTTGAATGGCTTATTGGAGATAAAAGTAATTAATCCTCTTTATATAGCCGTTCCATAGAACAGACTGTGGAACCCATAACATTTTGGATCTTTAACTTGCATCTATATTGTTGGTGAGCAGGAATTATTAGAAATGCAGTTAAGAAATTCTAGTTAAGAAACGCCAGAGCGTTTCCACCTTTGCCAATATTTCTGTCATGTAGATGATTCACTTCCTTTCCATTTTGGAATGTCTTAACAAATTAGAGTTACTTGAATCCAAGTAATAAAAGAGTGTGATAACAGTAAGAAAACCATTTAGAACCACTATGAATTCCTTAACTGAATGTGTAAGAGCATATATCTTAAGGAAAACAGTCCTGCATGATGTAAGTACAATAGGTGCATGTGTGTAGGAAATAGTGAATATTGGCCTAATGGTGCAAAATACAAATCGATGCTATGAGGAGTTATATATAATAATTTGGATCAGGAAATTAGATAAGGAAAATGCAGCTTGAAAGCAAGACATTCAGTATATAGAATTGAAGAATTTTTCTTAGTGATTCACATGAATTGATTTATTTGAATGCAGCTATAACATCTTAGAAATTTATTGGCTACGTTTGATTCCCCTTAAATCTTTTCAGGGAGTAGAGAAACAAACAACAGAATAGTGTAGAGACTGATCATGAGTATATAGAATTAGAAATAAGGTTCCGTGAGTTTCTGTAATGCAGTCCAGACACACTTCTTATATTTTTAATAAAGTAATTGTGGATTCTTTTTTCTGTTTGCTTTCCATGCGGTAACTCCTCTTTTGCCTTACTATAGGATGGTCCACAAACAGTATCTGGGAATAGATAATAGGATCTGTGCAGGAATGGGTAAAAACGTAAAACTTCCTTTTGTAAAACCTTTTTCTCTGTCTCTTGTATGCATGTAAATGGATGATGACAATATATATTTCCACATAACTACAAAACGTGCAATTTTTTTTTGAGCAATAGTAAGACTTATATCATGATGATGATGTTATCCATTCAGTCAAGTTCAATTCTTGGCGATTCTATGAGCCAGGTCTCTCCACATCTTCTGATCTTGCAGTACTTCTTTGAGTTTTTCTACGTCCTGGTTGGTATCCGCTTTGATAGTGTCCAGCCACCGTGTTCTTTGGTGGCCTGGTGTCTTCTTTACCACTAACTCTTTCAAATATTATTGCTTTCTCCAGTGAATTCCCCTGCATGACATGGCTAAAGTAAGTGAGACACAGTTTTATGATTTTGCTTTCTAGTGATATGCCCGGTGTTATGCGTTCCGGTAGTTACTTATATCAACGATATATCAATATAATTGCTTATATCAATGAACAATACAGACTTACAGCAATGATCCCATAAATGTATTCACTTAATTAGCACTCAGATCCATAGTGCTACAGTTTTATATAATATTGCCTGTGTTTTCAAGTTTATCCACAATTTTGTCAATAAGGTCATCCATAGTATACGCCACACAATTTTCTAGATTCATACTAGGAATCTTAAATTAACCATCTGAACTCAGTTTGCATGCTTAACTAGATTTCAGGTATGTCAAACTCGATTTCATTGAGGGCTACATCAGGGTTGTGTTCGACCTTGGGGGCCAGGTGGGTGTGGCCAGGGTGGGCATGGCCAGTTCAGCGACATTCGTGTTGGGGGTGTCTGTGGAGGCCCAAGCGCTCTGCTCTGTCAGTGAAAACGGAGCTTGGGTGGGCGGCTTTCACTGGCAGAGGGTTGCAG